CAGGGGAATAGAGAAGTGCTTTATTTTGTCTGCAGGAAGTGATATACTGTTTCGATTCTAAGTAGCTCACATTTTTCCCCAGTTTAAGTGTTCTGAAGTTGAGATTATAGTTGATGGCATTTTACAATTGCTATCAGCCATGTGGAAGTCATGACATAATTGACACCTGATTCCACTTCATTTTTGGAAAGATCAAGAAAGAGCTAGCATCCAAGCTGCTTAAAGTAAATGAAGCTTTGAAGAGTATGTGAATAGAAATGGTGGGAAAGGACATTTCTACTGTGCAAATTTAGAAACTACAGGTTTTTTCATACATTGTTGATGCAAGAATGGACCTTAGATCATTTAATTTACTTTCCTTATTTTATAAATGAAGAAACTAAGGCCTAGTGTTGTTGAGAGACTCATTCAAAGTCATACAGCAAGTTGGTGACAGATTCAGGACTAGAATCCTGCTTTTTTGGGGAATTATGCTTATTATATTATGCAGCAATAGCAGAAGGAACTTGACTAAGTGAAACAACAGATAACTGGCGAAAGTGGGTGGTTGAGAGTAACTGAAATTAATAGTTAATTTAACTATGAAAATTTAACTGTCAGTATGGACGATTTACCCTAAATACCCTTTCTGCCTATTTAGCAAATTGAGATAGAAAATATTTTCCACATGATAGTGGAAAGGACAAAATTATGCAAGATTTTTTCTACGAATTTTAAGTCATAATTTGCATCAGAAACCTTTTTCTTCAGCTGTTTCACATGAACCATAAACACGACTGACACCTTTTTTTTTTTTTTTTCTTGGTTGCTGTTTTGAAAGATGGATGTGCTACAAAGTTTAAAATTTAAGAATAAAAGAAGAAATTGGCGAATAAGTTAAAAAAGTTATCTTTAGAATATTGTAAAACAGTCTTTTCTAATGAATTATATATAGTATACTTACAGGTAAATTTTGGTTCTCTCCTAGCCTAATATTCTTTCCAGAAATTGAGGAGTATTAAAGTTTTTTAAAAGTTTAAAAATGGCAATAACACATGATTTTGTTTTTAAGAACAGAAACTTATGCATTTCAAAATTTAAGCCATTTCTGAGAGTGTAAATTTAAAAAAATATGTTTTATTTAGAAATAACTGTGTAGTGAAAACAGTGCTGGTGTATTGGTTCAGGTTCTGCAGAGAAACAGAATCAACAGGAGATATAGATACACAGAGGGATTTTAAGAAATTGGCTCACTCAGTTGTGAGGCCTGGCAAGTCTAAAATCCTTAGGTCAGGTGACAGGCTGGAAACTGTCAGTCATGTGTTGAAATTGGTAGACCAGGCTAGCTATACTATACTCTCGAGGCAGAATCCTTCTTCCTTGGGAAACCTCAATTATTGCTCTTAAAGTTTTCAACTGATTGAATGAGGCCCATCCATATTATGGAGAGTAATCTACACTGCTTAAGGTCAACTGATTTAAATGTTAATCACATGTAAATACCATCATAGCAACATCTATACTTGTGTTTGAACAAATAACAAATAGTCTAGCTATTGGTACAGAGGTTAAGCACTCAGCTGCTAACCAAAAGACTGCGGTTTGCTCCACCAGCCGCTCCTTGGAAACTCTATGGGGCGGTTCTCTGTCCTGTAGGTTCAACTCGAGGGCAGTGGTTTTTTTTTTTTTATCATCTAGCCAAGTTGACATATTAAATTAACCATCACAAGTGACCTAAAAGTGGGGATTGTGATTCTATCCTGAGTTCTTCTAACCAATTCTCCACTCTTGGAAAAGTTTTGAAAATCCCTGTGCGTCAATTACTTCAATTATAAGATAAATGGTTTCACTAGAATTATTATCTCCCTAGTGCTAATAGTGTTTGGTTCTGTGGTTTAAAACATCAAATCTCATTAAATAAATCAATCCTCTGTTGATAAAATTAATGCAAATCATTTGAGATTACTATCCAATTGACTAGTATTTGACTAGTAGATTTATTGGTTGTTATACAATTTAAACTAGTAAACTGATAGCAATAAAATATTAATTTACTCACATTCCACCTGAGTCCACATTAGAATTAACTCTGTGGGATGAATATGTAGTGATTTAGATACAGAACAAAACAAATTTATACATTAAAAATGATTTATTAATAATCTTTATTAGTAAGTATCTGCTTCATTAATTTGAGCGTGCTTATAACAATATATAAAAGGAGTCCCTGGGTGACACAAATGGTTAAGTGCTCAACTACTAGTCAAAGATTGGCAGTTTGAACCCACCCAGAGGTTCCTCAGAAGACAGGCCTGATAATCTGCTTCTGAAAGATCACAACCTTGAATACCCTATCCAAAACCAAACTCACTGCCATCAAATCGACTCTGACTCATAGTGACCCCATAGGGTTTCCAAGGCTATAAATCTCTACAGAAACAGATTGCCACATCTTCCTCCTGTGGAGCTGCTGGTGATTTCAAACCACTGACCTTCTGGTTAGCAGTCAATCACTTTAACCACTGTGCCACCTGGGCTCAGAATTGACTCAAAGCAATTAACAACAACAATATATAAAACCAGTTGCCATCAAGTCAATTCCAATCATTGTGACCCCATGTGTGTCAGTAGAGCTGTGCTCCATAGGGCTTTCAATGGCTTATTTTTCAGGAGTAGATTGCCAGGTCTTTCTTCTGAGGCACCTTTAGATGGATTTGAATCTCCAAACTTTTTGTTAGCAGCCAAGCGCATTAATTGTTTACACCACCCAGGGACTCCTTTATCCTGATGTCTTAGTCATCTAGTGCTGCTATAACAGAAGTACCACAAGTGAATGGCTTCAACAAACAGAAGTTTATTCTCTCACAGTCTAGCAGGCTAGAAGTCCAAATTCAGGGCCTCATCTCCAGGGGAAGTCTTTCTGTCTCTGTTGGCTTTGGAGGAAAGTCCTTGTCCTCAATCTTCCCCCGATCTAGGAGCTTCTCAGTGCAGGGACCCCGGACCCAAAGGTTGTGCTCTGCTGCTAGCACTACTTTCTTGGTGGTATAAGGTCCCCCTGTCTCTCTGCTCACTTCTCTCTTTTATATCTCAAAAGACATTGACTTAAGATGCAACCTAATCTTGTAGATTGAGTCCTACCTCATTAACATAACTACCTATAATCCTGCTTCATTAACATCATAGAGGTAGGATTTAACCACACATAGGAAAATGACATCAATGACAAAATGGTGGACAATCACACAATATTGGGAATCATGGCCTAGCCAAGTTGACACACATTTTTAGGGGACACAATTCAATCCATAACACAACCAAACCAAACTAAAACCTATTGCTGTTGAGTTGATTCTGAATCATGGTGCCCCACGTGTTACAGAATAAAACTTCTTCATAGGGTTTTCTTGGCTGTAATCTTTATGGAAGAAGATTGCCAGACCTTTCTTCCATGATACTGCTGGGTGTGTTCAAACCACCAACCTTTAGGTTTGTAGCTGAGTGCAAACCATTTGTGCAACCGAGGGACTTCTTTATCCCGATGTTGTTGTTGTTAGTTGCCATCGAGTCCACTCCAACTCATGGTGACCCGTGTGTGGAGAGTAGACATGTGCTCCATAGGCTTTCAAGGCTGTGACCTTTCAAAAGCAGGTCACTAGGCCTGTCTTCTGAGACGTCTCCGGGTGAGTTTGAACCACCAACCTTTTGGCTAGTAGTCAAGTGCTTAACCATTTGTGCCACCCGGGGACTCCTGATAGGCTTCACTAAAAGCTCATCATGATCACAGAAATATTTCAAACACTTGTTGGTTGTTTAATATTAATAAATGTGGGGTAAACTTTACAAGAAAACACAGTGAACATTTTTTACTGGTGGAGAATTATTGAATGTTAGTCAATTGGGTATTGGAGAAAATTTATCAAAATACAGATAAGATCTTATAGTATTTGACTTTAAGCCAGATTCAGTTGTCAAGGCTATTCTTAGTACACCAAATCCTATATCATCTGTTTCCTTAAGAACACTTATATTTCTACTCTCCATAGCTAGGGTTTATATCCAAATTATAGGTTCAAACCGTTAAGATTCAAATTAATAATGGGGAGCAAAATCCATCCCTGTTTTACACTGCTGGAAATGAAGTGTTCTTTCTGTCTAGAATATTTCTGCTGACCTTGACCTTGCAATGTAATTACTATGTAAGTTCAGCTTGAGCATCAGTAATTGGGGGTGAATATTAAGTTTGATTCAGAAAGCTTTCAACCCAGAGAGCCAAGGGCAACAAAAATATCAATAAAAGCGGAAACAAATGCTTCATTGTATGCCTAACATGTTTTTCCACAAGTTGACTAAAGAGGGAAGGAACTGGGATGAGGCAAGCGAGGTGCCAAGGACCTGCAAATAGATCAAAAATTTAGCTAAGAAGAATTCAGGGGATATATTGGATTTAAGTTTTAAAGATTATCTCAGGGCAATAGTTTCAGTGGTTTATCCAGCCTCCATGGCTCCAAAAATTTTGGAGTCCATGGGAATTTGAAATTCTTTTCTGCATTTTCCCTCTTTTGATCAAGGATTCCTTTACAGAATCCTTCATCAAAATGTTCAGTAATGGTCACTGTCACTGAATTGTACATGTAGAAACTGTTGAATTGGTGTATGTTTTGCTGTGTATATTCTCAACCCAACAAAATAAATAAAATTTTTAAAAATTAGCTAATTATAAAACATGGAATTTTACTGTTTTAAAAAAACTGAAAGTGAGAGGAAATAGTTATGTTTTTCCTTTCCAAAGAAAGAGGAGTGAGGCACCCAAGCCCAGGATTTCCCTCATATTCCAGTACAAAGAGCCACGCTCTGACACAGGGGTAAATGCCTTGCTCTTTCCGCTTTAGAGTCTATGTTTTGTGAGTTCACTCCTCTGCAGTTATTCACATTTTCTCTAAGATAAAACCTAATCATTCAGATTCTCAAGGGTGCCAATTAATCACAACTCTTCTCTTCTTTAAGTTCTAGACCCACAGAAAACTAGTCCAAAGAGTTGTACGGAAGATATGTGGTGAAGCTTGTATGGAGAATGACATTCTAGCCCGAAGCCAAAAAAAACCCTCCTAATGTTCCCCTCACCCCAAGTCTAGGGACCTATTTCTGCAGAGTGACACTTAGCCAGGCAGCCAGCATGAAGGACCACAGCTTGCCTCATGCTCTACGAAGGAAGAGACGGTAAGAACGAGGCTGGGGCTTCCTGGGCACAAGAGTGGAAAGGAGAACCTGTTTACCAGTGGGTCTTCAACTAAAAGCAAGAGAGTGGGATAGTGGGGCTATAGGAGAGAGGGAAGGAGGGAAAAGGGAAGGAGTGAAGAATCTGGGTCACATAGTACAATTTATTTTTATTCCAATTTTACCTATCAATCCCCATCCCATTCAGAGGAGTAATTGAGAACTGGAAAATAGGGTTAACACGTTTTCTCTAATCCTTCTCTGAGAGGGCAGACCTAAAAGTAAATGACCCTATACTGTATTTTATGCAAATAACGCACATCGTCTACATTTGCCAACCGCACCCTTCCCTCACTCCCCCAGATATTTTTGTAAGCGCGCTATGCTAATTTTTTTTTTTTTTTTTTTTTACAGCAACTTCAGTTTTGCTTTTGGAATTTTAATAATTCCTTTAGTTCTGAGGTTAAAAAAATGAAGAGAATTTAGTTGTCATTGTAAAAAAAAATTGTTTCCTTTAAGATAAAATTGATATTTTGACTTCTTGGACATTGTGTTCACTTGTATGCAGAATCAATCTCTCTTTATCAAGGTCTTCAATTTAAATTATTTTCTTTAGCAGAGAGACCATTTGGAGACAAATGTTCTTTTGAACCCCATAGCTCTGGAGCTGGTGCCATTATGTTAAACCTCTATTGCTGTTTTGTACTATTTGAATTGAGATGTAAAAAGAAAGCTATTATTAACCTGTTCTCAACTGGAATTCTGCCTGAGGTCTGACAGGCTTTATTTTAAGCCCCTACTTCTTATCTGAGAAGTTTACACACAAGCCCTGAGATTTTGAAAGCTAACCATCATGGTGTGTGCAGGAAATTTTGAGTCTTTTCTACATCTGTTATCTGTTTGAAAATTCTGACCTGAAGGCACAAAGCATTAGAATTACAGACCATATGGAACATCTGGAAATTCCTCATTTCCTTTTGGTGGGCCATAACTAAAACCCCATCTCTTCCCTAGTTCATTACTTCACTCACTAATGATTAGTGCTACATCAGGTCTGTTTCAGTTCCCCTTTCTGGCTCAACAGTTTTCAGTGCCTTTTATTTCCTGCTGTCTTGAACTCTGCTTCACTTGCTCCCCTCCATCTCATTTACTATAATGATAAGCCACCCTCCACAAATTATTCTGGTGCAATTAAGTATCCAGGAAGGCCAGACACCAACTGCACTTTATCCCTCTAGTTAAATTACCAGTTGCCGTGAGCACACCTTGTTCCAAAGAGTTCATAAGCCTTGTGTTTATGGCACGGTACTATAACAACTTTTATCTAGAAGATTTTTTTTTAACTTTCTAATTTGACTCTGAGTTTTTCTTGAATGTATTTTCAAGATGATGATAAGGATAAGTTACCTTTAGAGAATTTTTATACCTTTATACTGCTCATTAGTTTTAGCAAGAAGTTTATAGAAGAAGTTGCATAGGCAGCAGGCAGCTCCTTTAAGATCGTCTTCTCTTTATTCTGGACTTCCTTTCCAACATCCTTCTTGGCAAAGTTTGTCCACTTCCAGCCAGACTTGCATCAGCTCCACTGCTTTCCCCAATTAAATATGCAATGTTAACATTTTAGAAAGCAGGGAATAGTTTTGAGGTGGGATGCAGCCATGCGAACAGGGAGGAAGGTTAAAGAAAACAGTAAGCGTTATGTACTTAAGAATAAGATGTTTTTCTTTCTTTCTTTTTTTCCTCCTCTTTCCCTTAGAGATAACCTGTAAACTTTGTATGGGTTGTGCATGTAGAAATATGTTTCTATATTCTGTAATTCTGTATTGACTTTTAAAAAGCAATAGGACATTTCCTTGATGTTGTTTTCGTTTGAGGGTATGCTAATTAAGTATATTCTTCTCTCCTCTGAACTGAGGACTAGACAGACGCAACAGCAATAAAAATATAGGCTTCATAACTGCTAAATCTAATTTCTAGAATGCAGCTTGGACCTGAAACCAGAATTCTCTTTTCTTTCCCCCATGAACCTTGGGACCTATGCTTGGTGAGAGCAGGCTTACAGAGCTGGCATCGAGTCAGAGCAATGGAGGGCCAGGCCCTCCCTCACAAGCTTGTAGAGGGCAGCAGAGAGCACAAGGGAGGTCATGAGTGAGCCCAACCCTGAGTACATTAGGCCCTGTTCAGCAGGGAAATACTGACCGACAGATGGCAGCCTCTCTCTGTCTCACCGGATAGGTAAACCCCAACTGGCTCCCTCTGGCAGAATGCACTGGAGACGGGGAAGGAATTTCTTCTGCAACAGTTTTGGGAGGATTATTGTAGTTGTTAGTTGCCTTCTAGTTGATTTCAACTCGTGGCCACCCCATGTGTGCAGAATAGAACTGTTCCATAGTGTTTTCAAGGCTGTGACCTTTTGGAAGCAGATTGCCAGGCCTGTCTTCTCAGGCGCCTCTGGGTGTGTTTGAACCTCCTACCTTTTGGCTAGTGGTCCACAGCTTAACCCTTTGCCCAACCAAAGGACTTCTTTCAGAGTGTTGTTGTTAGATGCCATCAAGTCGGTTCTGCCTCATAGCGACCCCATGTACAATAGAACAAAACACTGCCTGGTTCTGCGACATCCTTACAATTTTTGCTATGTTTGAGCCCATTGTTGCAGACACTGTGTCAATCCATCTCCTTGAGGGTGTTCCTCTTTTTTACTGACCCTCTTCCTTACTAAACATGATATCCTTCTCCAGGGACTGGTCCCTCCTGATAACATGTCCAAGGTATGTGAGACGTAGTGTCGCCATCCTCGCTTCCAAGGAGCACTCTGGCTATACTAGTTCTAAGAAAGGCTTGCTCGTTCTTCTGGCAGTCCATGGTATGATCAAAATTCTTTGCCAACACCATAATTCAAAGACATCACTTCTTCTTTGGTTGTCCTTATTCATTGTCCAGCTTTCATATGCATGTAAGGCGATTGAAAATGTCATGGCTTGGGTCAAGTGCACCTTAGTCCTCAAAGTGACATCTTTGTTTTTCAACACTTTAAAGAGGCCTTTTGCAGCAGATTTGCCAATGCAGTATGTCATTTGATTTCTTGACTGCTGCATCCATGGGCATTGATTGTGGATCCAAGTAAAATGAAATCCTTAATTATATCAATCTTTTCTCCCTTTATCCTGATGTTGCTTACTGCTTATTGCTCAATTGTGAGGATTTTTGTTTTCTTTATGTTGAGGTGCTTCAAGTTCTCTTCACTGTTAAAAATTAGGTTGTCATCTGCATTTCGCAGGTCGTTAATGAGTCTTCCACCAATCCTGATGCCACCTTCTTCTTTATGTAGTCTAACTTCTCAGATTATTTACTCAGCATACAGATCAAATAAGTGTGGTAAAAAGATACAAACCTGACACACACCTTTCCTGGTTTTTAAACCACACAGTATCCCCTTGTTCTGTTCAAACAACTGCCTCATGGTCCATGCACAGGTTCCTCATGAGCACAATTAAGTGTTCTGGTATTCCCATTCTTCGCAAGGTTATCCATAATTTGTTATGATCTACACAGTTGAATACCTTTGCATAGTCAACAAAAACACAGGTAAGTATCTTTCTGGTATACTCTGCTTTCAGCCAAGATCCATCTGACATCAGCAATGATATCTCTGGTTCCATGTCCTCCTTTGGATCCGGCTTGAATTTCTGGTATTTCCTTATTGATGTACTGCTGCAACCGTTTTTGAATAATCTTCAGCAAAATTTTACTTGCATGTTATATTAATGATATTTTTTGATAATTTCCGCATTTTGTTGGATCACCTTTCTTTGAAATGAGCACAAATATGGATCTATTCCAATCAGTTGACCAGGTAGCTAGCTTCCAAATTTCTTGGCATAGATGAGTGAGCACTTCCAGCGCTGCATCTGTTTGTTGAAACACCTCAATTGGTATTATGTCAATTCCTGGAGCCTTGTTTTTCACCAATTTCTTCAGTGCAGCCTGGACTTCTTTCAATACTATTGGATCTTGTTCATATGCTACCTCCTGAAATGGTTGAATGTCAACCAATTCTTTGTGGTACAGTGACTCTGTGTATTTCTTCTATCTTCTTTTGATGCTTCCTGTGTTGTTCAATATTTTGTCCATAGAATTCTTCAATATTGAAACTTGAAGCCTGAATTTTTTCTTCAGTTCTTTCAGCTTGAGAAATGCTGAGAACACACGCTTCCATTTTAGTTTTCTAACTCCAGGTCTTTGCACATTTCATTATAATACTTTTCTTTGCCTTTTCTAGCTGCCCTTCGAAATTTACTGTTCAGCTCTTTTACTTCATCATGTCTTCCATTTGCTTTAGGTATCAAAACTTTAGAGCAAGTTTCAGAGTCTCATCTGACGCCCGTTTTGGTCTTTTCTTTCTTTTAACGTTTTTTGCTTTCTTCATGAATGATGTCCTTGATCTCATTCCACAACTCATCTAGTCTTTGGTCACTAGTGTTCAATGTGTCACATCTATTCTTGAGATGATCTCTAAATTCAGGTGAGATATACTCAAGGTTGTACCTTGGTTCTCATGGACTTGTTTTAGTTTTTTTCAGCTTCAAATGGTCTGTTCCACAGTCGGCCCTGACCTTGTTCTGACTGATGATATTGAGATTTTCCATCTTCTCTTTCCACAGATGTAGTTGATTTGATTCCTATGTTTTCCATCCAGTGAGATCAACGGGTATAGTCATAGTTTATGTTACTGAAAAAGGGTGTTTGCAATGAATAAGTCATCAGTCTTGCAAAATTCTATCATAGGATATCAGGCATCGTTTATACCACCAAGGTCATATTTTCTATCTACAGATTTTTCTTCGTTTCCAACATTTGTATTCCAATCACCAGTAACTATCAATGTGTCTTGATTGCATGTTTGATCAAGTTTGGACAGCAGAAGTTGGTAAAAATCTTCAATTTCCTCATCTTTGTCATGAGTGGTTGGTATGTAAATTTGAACAATAGTTGACAGCCTTCGTTGTAGGTGTTTGGATATTATCCTATCACTGACAGCATTGTACTTCAGCATAGATCTTGAGATGTTCTTTTTGACAATGAATGTGATGCCATTCCTCTTTAATTTGTCATTCATGGAATAGCAGAACATATGATTGTCTGATTCAAAATGGCCAATACTAGTCCATTTCAGCTCACTAATGCCTAGGATATTGATCTTTATGTGTTCCATTTCATTTTTGTCAACTTCCAATTTTCCTAGATTCATACTTTGTATATTCTACATTCCGATTAGTAATGGATGTTTGCAGCTATTTCTTCTCATTTTGAGTCATGCCACATCAGCAAATGAAAGTCCCAAAAGCTTAACTCCATCCATGTCATTAATGTTGACTCTACTTTGAGGAGGCAGCTCTTCTCCAGTCATCTTTTGAGTGCCTTCCAACCTGAGGGCCTCATCTTCTGGCACTATATCAGACAATGTTCCGCTGCTATTCATAGGGTTTTTCACTGGCCAGTTTTTTCAGAAGTAGACTGCCAGCTTCTTCCTCCTAGTCTATCTTAGTCTGAAAGCTCAGCTGAAACCTGTCTGCCATGCGTGACTCTGCTGGTATTTGAAATACCGGTGGCATCACTTCCAGTATCACAGCAACACTCAAGCTACCACAGTATGAAAAACTGACAGACGCGTGGTTGTTGGGAGGGTTAATGGCCCTAAATTATGGGTAGGTAAGAAAATGGGGAAAGGAAGTGCATACTTTTCCTTACTAATGACATCTCTGTTAAGACATCAGTAGTGCTTTTACCTTTATTTTTTTGCATAAAAAGCAAGTTTGTAAGCTTGAAATACAATTTTATGTACAAGATACTTTTATAAACTTTGAATTGTTATTAGTTTGCCAAGTAACCATATATTTTCATTTAAGTATGTTATTCATATGAGAGTTTTTAACTCAAAGGTAGTCATTAGTCTAGCGACCAGGACTGGGAAATGATAAGATTATAGAGTAGCAAGTCTTGGTGCAGAGGCATAAATGGGAAATAAAAAAAAAAAAAAAAGTAAAAAAGGAGAGGACTACTCTTGAAAGGACAGAAGCAAAGAAAGACAAAAGGGAGTAACGTTTCTGATGTCATCAAAATTTCAAAGGCTGTGAGAGAATGGGTGGTAACTCTAGACTGCTGGAAATTGATAAGGGAATAGAAGCCCTCTAGATGAGAATAAGGTTGGTAGTTTGCATCCACCCGGACACATCTAGGAAGAAAGGTCTGAAAATCTGTTTTTGAAAAATCAGCCACTGAAAACCCTATTGTGCTTAGTTCTACTCTGATGCTCGTGGTGTCTCCATAAATTAGAATTGACTTGACGACACCTGACAGTGTGGTGGTCGTGGGAGGTAAGAACAATAAAAGTAAATCAAAGGCTTTCACAAGACCAAAGAAGTGGAAAATATCTATTAATTTCCAGGTGTGCACCTAGGAATGTAGAATTTAACATTCCCAAATCACAAATACCTACTATGTGGAACCCCTTATTAAGGGTGCTGAAAAGAGAACAAGTATTTCTACCTCCAAAACCACCAGATATTGCCAGGGTTTGTTGGAGGATAAACATTGACGTGAGCAAATTTGAAATGCATTTCCAGCCATTTATATTCAAGTAGGGGATGTGATTTTCTTGACAAAAGACTTAATCCTATATATATTCTGGGAATCCCAATTTCGCAGACACTTGTTATTAAATAGAAGATCAATTCATTAGCCATATAATTTAAAAACACCTACTTGCTGCTTCCTTTCTGGTGTCAGACTACCAGAGGCACATTAATTAATTTATATTCTTCTCAATGTAGAGAGCACTTCTAGGACTATAGAGATGACCAGAATTAGAATATGCATGCATGGTTCCGGTAAAATTAGATCTTTGTTAATTTAGGTGTTAGTAATTATTTATACTCTCAGATACTTTCACTTGTCAATGCATTATTGAAGTGCTTGGAAATACATTTAAATACTTATATTGAGCACAGTTTATGTTTAATATACTAAGCATAAGGGTCAGTTGAAGGATCAGTAAAAAATACAAATACGGTGTGGTGCCTGTCCTGAAAGAAGTTTTAATCTGGTAGAGAGACACTGTCATAAACTGAAAACACATGTGAATGAGTGTGGAATTACACATGAGATGTATTAACTGAAGCTGATTTTGGAAATACCTGATCTCAGGTTTCCAATGTGGAACCCTGGGGATACAGTGTGATATAACCACTCTTGTTTAGTGGTTAGAGACATGCCTTTGATCAGATGGGTTTGGAACATGTGGTACCATTTGTTAGCTGTTTTACCTTGATAAGGTACTTTGCTTTAAGCCTTGTTTTCTCATTTGAACAACGGGAATAATAATAATATGTGTCTCAAAAGACTAATGTGACCAATGAAATAAATACTTATGCAATGTGTAGCGTAATGCTACTATATACATGGTCAGTGTATGTTAACAATCATTTATAAATAATTATTAATATGTGAGTAAATCTTATTGTAGTGAATGAAGAATGCTAGAAAATATCTCAGGCTTTAGAGATAGGAGAACAGGTCAAATATCAAGGAATTATTTTTCCTTTCTCTTCAATTATTTTGTTTATATAACCATGAAGTTTAAAAACAGGGTAATAATATTAATCAGTATAGAAAAGTTATAGACTGAGGAGTGAAATATTCTAACGTATCAGTTTAAATGGTTCTAGGTAGTCTGAGGTTTAATTTTAGTAGAAGAAATGAATTCATTTACTACAAAACCTATCTCTTTTACTTTCGTTTATAAGTTTCTTTGCCAGGATACCCTAGAACTGCACATTCTTACTTTTTCCTCCTACCTCCAGATTAAGCTTTCGTGTGTGGACTAGACCTCAACCACCTGGTCAGGAGCAGAGCATGTTAATTCCTGACTCTGGCATACGAATTTAAAATTCTTGTCAGCAATTTATAAAAGAGTTATTCCCCCAAATTATTTTTGTTTGCTTACAAAAAAATGAATTAATAGAATTATAGTTTTATTTATTTATTTATTTTTGCTATATAGTATTAGAGTGCGGTGATTAGTAATTATCTGCCAAGTTTAACTGTAATTCTTCGGTTTTGCTTATTGGTCCAATTAACTGCTCACTCTTAACCATGAGGCAAGTTCCACAGCATATGGCAACAATTATAATTTACCATAGTCATTTGTCAAAACTTAATATGGTTCTATTGATTTTGGTTCTTAACTGTTGTAAGCACTAACAATTTTCATCATTTAGGAGTTATAGCACCCTAGTCTGATAGTTAAAACTGAGCGAGGGGGGTGTGCTTCATTTGGGTGAGCAGCTTTTTATACCAACAGAAAAAACATCATGACTTACTTTTACTTAAGGCTATTGGAGTTACGATAGATTAGGGAAACAGCATGAGATTATAAAGCACATCGTGTATTCATGTCTTCTTCATTTATACTCATTCAGGAATGGAAAGTATTATCTGTGATTACAAGTTATTTTAAGACTTTGAGTATGTTATTAGTTTCAAATTTTCCATGATTACATCTTAGATATACAACAGGGAGAATATAATGACACTATTAAATGCACACTCTCTTTTCTAATATCTGTCACTTAATGAAAAGCAAAGGCTTTTAAATCATTGCACTTAGCCTGAAGTGTAATGAAATGAAGTGTTCTTGCTTGAACAGAAAGAATAATCAAACTCTAGTTAGGCAATTAACGTCTTTGGTTTTTGCTCCACGCTGTACTCCATCATTATGACACCCATATCTTTATCTCTGGGTGAACTCATATGAGAAACTGGATCTAGAAAGCTGATAAGCCATTCTGGATCTTTTCATATATCATAAAGCATAGAAGACAACGGGTGACATTTTATTTTCTATAATCTATAGTTTTAGTTTCTTTAATATTTACCTCCTCTTCCCTAGAAGGTTGTCAACGATTGTCTTGGAGGGCTCTGTGTTTGGTCCATGTAGAAATACTAGGTAGCTCTTGTTGCTGCTACATCTCTGTATAGCATTGTATCATTACCAGCTCTTGTGAGAACAGGCTCCTTTCACAGGTCTGGAAGGAGGAATGACAGTTCTGAAGATTATACCTAAAACTGAATGAAGCAGAAATTTGGCACTGTCTAATTTTCACGGTAGATGTAAGAGGATTGTCTCAGAGATGTATGCTTCCATGTACAGTTTTAGACTAAATTTCTCTCCATTTATCAAATGGACTGACTGATTGAAGAACTTCTAATTTTTGTATATGGAAAAATTATTTTAATAAAGACATAAAGTCAGAGTAAGGTAATTAACCAAATCTAAATAAGTTACATAAAAATATGACAGCCACTTTTGCTTCAAACATCTACATGTCAGATATGCTGTTTTTCTTTGCAAAAATTCTTCATATACCTGCCTCATGATTCCTTTTTATTTTGTTTTGGTTTCCCTAACTCTGTTAGTAGATGTTCATTGGTTTATTCATTTGTTAAATACTAAAAATTAATGCATAATTAGAGGAATAAAACTTGAAATCATAAGAACCAATTTTAAAAGCTGTTTGATAATTATATCTTCATGTGATTATGAGTAATTACAGTATGTATGCTTAATAAAGATAGGATGACTGGATGAATAAATACAAATAAAACACTGATTATAAGAATAATCATAATCCTTTTATAATTCTTTATAAGGATTGATGGAATTTGTGATGTAATTTTACTTTAATTTATATGCAATGAAATATTTCCCCCATTTTTCATTCTTCTTACCTTTTGGACCACTTTAGAAATTTATTGTTGATAGATCCTGTAATTTACTCTTTACAAAATAAAATAAACATAGGTCAGTTAGATTGTATTATTTAAATGCCAGATATTTTCTCTTGTAGAGGCGGTATGCATTTTTAAAGGATGAAAAAGGAGACACCTGTACTTATAAATGTAAGTAGTTTTGCCTTATTTTGATTTTGGTGAGCATTTGCAGAAAAAAAGCTGTTCTATTGATTTCTGATCACTGTCTCAGGAAACGAAAACGGTGCTACGTCCGCTCTTCCTACTCTCTTCCCTCTTGAGTAATTATGCTTGAGAATAAGTTTTGCTAATGGAAGGTTGCTTAATTTAATAGTTGTAGAATGTATCTGGGGAGAGCAATTTGGCAATAGTGAAAAGTAAAATGTGATCTTACTTGTCAGTTTAGAATTAAAACAGTACAGATAGCCACCGAAACTACTGTGTTATAGGAGACATGAGGGTAAAGATGGACTCTCTTAAATCACTGACTGGTGAAGTATTGCAGGCATAATCAAAGCAGAGGCATTCTGCAGACTTTGCTTCTTTACAAATTGCCATGCCTTTTCATTTTTCTTGTATGTGTCTTTTTCTGTTTTGCTTTTCCGTTAGTTATAAACACATCAAAGGAATTTTCCTGTTGTTGCTATCAAATTCCAGAACTGACATCTAGCTTATGTACTTCCAAATTTAAGTCTGATTGATTGTAGTATTTGTGATACCTAAAACTGGGATTGACTCAACATAGATATTTAATTTTTATCTGAGTATTTTAATTTTTTAAAAAATTGTTGTAGTTTAAATGAAGTTTACATTTCAAGTTAGTCTCCCATACAAAAATTTATACATGCATTGTTATGTGACCCTAACTGGTCTTCACATACTGTGACAGCACATGCCTCCTTTCCACCCCTGATTGCCCATGTCCCTTCAACCAGCTCCTAACCCTCTCTGCCTTCCCATCTCACCTCCGGACAGAAGCTGCCAGTTTAGTCTCTTGTATCTACTTGAGCTAAGAGGCACACTCCTCACGAGTATCGATTAGGTCCCACAGTCCAGTCCAATCCCTGTCTGAAGAGTTGGCCTCAGAAATTGTTTTAGTTCTGGGCTGGCAGAGAGTCTGGGGGCCATGCTTTCGGGGTTCCTCCAGTCTCAGTCAGACCATTTAGTCTGGTATTCTTACTAGAATTTGAGTCCTGCACCCCACCTATCTCCTGATCCATCAGGGACTCTCTGTTGTGTTCCCTGTCAGGGCAGTCATTGGTGGTAGCCAGGCACCATCTAGTTCTTCTGGTCTCAGGCTGATGAAGTCT